CTCCACTCTATGAGACTAGCCAGTCTGCAGGGCGAGCTGCAGGGCATCCCCATCGCCCGGGGTGTCTGGTCTTGGCTGGCTGCCTTCTGCCCTCTAGTGGGAAGCTTTGCAGGAAATAGGTACCGCCCAGCAATTGAGCAGGGATGCGGGAGTGTCCCGTATCTTTTGAGCCCCGCTGAACATCGGGCATCTCTCCAGAAGCCCAGTTTCAGAGGTGGATATCACCTTGAAAAGCAAAGCTGAGCTGTCAAAGTCAGAAAAAATATTGAGGGGTTGCTAAACTGCTGCTTTTGAAGGATTAGTCCACAACTATGCATCTAATAAGGGTGGTAGTGTTGACGAGGGAGCATGGAGGGTCAGTGCTTGGAAAGCTGGATGCGCTTTTAACATTTGTAGGTGGCATGAGAGCTACAGGCAAAACCCAGGGAGCCTGACTGCTGCCACTTGAAGAAATCAGTGCAAATATTCAGGAAAATAATCCTGCCCAGAGAATGAGCTGCCACTCACCAGTGGTCATTAAGCCAAGCACTGAACAGCCCAGGGTGCCAGCAGAAAAAATCTACCAAATCTGCTCAAAAGGACTGTGAGATCTGCTATTAAGGTTGTTAGTGGCCAGATGTACCTTTCAAAGAGCCCTCATTGCTGCCTGACTTTACACTCTAGCCTTCACCTTCCGTGTATGATCCCAGTAGAAGTGCTCCTTGGCACCTCTGCCTCCTCAGTGCCTGTGCCCTGTGCAAAAAGAGGTGTCTGACGTTCCTGGATTATACAGAGCTCAACCCACTTCTCTGCCAGGCACCTTTGCCTGTTCGTGGATAAGTTTTGGGTAGTAGCTCCGGTTTTGCAGGGTCCTTCTAAAGCTGCTGCTCCCCCACTGGGTATGGTGTACTCCCAGATTTTTTTTTGCTGAGGCCATAGGTAGGATAAAATTGTTTTCCTCTCCTTACTAGTTGCTCACTAGTTACTAGTGGCCTACAGGCAAAGCACAGGCTCTAACCTGCTCCTCCTGTTCTGTGCACATTTTCGTCCTGTTTTCCTTCCCTCTCTACCAGCCTTAGGAAGCCTCTGGTTTGTATTCCCCTGGGATCAGGGGCTTTAGGGATGTGTGGCATTCACTGAAACATTGGCCTTGAAACGCAACAGTAAAACCAGCCACTGTGTGTGTCGTCTGTGAGCAGCAGTCACCTGTTGGGACAGGAGGTTGGATGAATTTGCAAGTAACAGCTGGAGCCGGTGCTTTGCTACTGACACTGAATTTCACAAAATGCATGAGTTATAGCAGCTTTGCTTTTCAAGATGAATGCACAGGCCAGGTTGGTGACAGTGTTATAAGTGTTTCATCAGACTTCGCAGCAAAACCTCCAAATTTGTCATTTGACTAGAAAGGAAGGAAACATCTGGGAAGCTGCAACCTGGAGTGGAAAAAAGGAGGAAAAAATGTGCCGAGAGTGATGCTTTGGTGTGTTTTCAAAGTATGACTATAGTGTCTAAGAACATAGTCTAGAAAATTGCATACTCTGAAAATTTCACCTTTGAGGTTTTAATGCTATCAGATAGTTAACTCAGTGAACTCCTCGTTTTGCTCCTTTCTCTTTTCCACCACTCCCCCCCCGCCGCCTGTCTTATTTTGATGTCATTGTTTGCAGTTCGTAATCCCAGCTTCAAAAGTCAGTGCTTGCTTAGCTGAGGTGGGTGAGTGTGTGTGTCTGTGTGCATGTGTGTCAGTGCACACATGTGCATGCCCCTTAGCCGGGGGTGGTGCTGCCGGGATGCACGTGTTTGTGTATATGTGCCTGTGCTCCTTCTCGTTGCCATCATCTGAGCTGGGGGTGGTGGCAGTGATGGCTGTGTGAATGTGTGTATGTGTATGTGTACTCCTGATTGTTACCTCCTCAGCCGGCAGCTGTGGTGGGGTGTGTGCTCCCGCCTGGTACCAGCTTGAATAAGGAGGTAGAGCAGAATGAGTGAAAAACAGGAGCTGCTTTATTTTGTTGCATGTTTAAAAGCCATGATCAGGAAAGGGGGCTTTTTAGCTGACTGGTCATTCCTGTTAGTGATGGAAGAAAGGCAGCATTTTTGAAGACAGTACCAGGAAATGGTGAGTACTTCTCAGCAATAAATGACCAGCAGTGAAGTGTAGGAGTAGTAGAGATCCAGGAGGCTGTCAAACTGTCCTATTGGAGCTCATTTTCCTTGCTGCTGTCAGTCACTGCTGCTGTCAGAGTGTTAGACAGTTATGCTCACCGCAACTCAATACAGAGGAAGTCCTTGCAGTAGTTCCACAGCTCGAGAGCAGTTGCTATTACTCTGTTTAATTATACAAGCAAGTAGATCCAGATTTATGAAAAGTTCAGTGACTTGGGAGGAATTGGACAGTGATCAGCCCTGGGCAAGACCACGGGGTACTTGCCGTGGGATTTGGCCGAAGTGTTCAGAGAGGCATACTGTTCTGATCGCTGTGGATTGTGCTTGTCCTGTTGAGATGCGCAGGGATTAGTCTGAGAGCCACTGCTGTCCAGTACTGGTGCTAAACGCCTAGTGGTGACACAAAACTGGGTGATTTAAGGATTGGTTAAGTAACAGATCAAAAGAGGGTCATAGGGGACAGCGAAGCTGCTAGGGAGCACCCTTAAAAAAATTGTGTGTTCTTGTGCTGCAAGGAAGTACATTTAGACTCCAGAACATGCATGCTAATCCCTGCGGGAAGGGTAGTGGTATTTTAGAAAACACTGTTTTGAGAAGGGGATGGAGTTGCAGGGTGCAAGCTATACCTGAGCTAGTGAGATCTTTGAGTGCTGCAGAGGGGGAAGAGAGGAGGATGGAAGGGGGTAACCACCTTCCTGCGTGTGGTATGGGAAGGACCAGGGACAGAGTACAGAGTCTCCCACTGTGTAAAAGAGATCTTGAAAACTGCAGAGGGGTAGAAAGAGAAGAAAGAAGCTTTAAAGTGCCTTATCGGAGATAAAACAGCTGCCCAACTGGGCAGAGCTGATCAGTATGCATGTGCTCTTCCCTGAGGAAAAATACCAGGTACTGACAGGACTCTTGAGTGCCTCAGAGCAGAGCACGAAGAGCTAATGAGTGGATTAGTTTGGGTAAGGAGCGTGCTTTTTACAAAGAGAACAACCGCCAGGCAGAATTATAATCTTTCAATATCCTCAAATTAAAACTGGATATCCTTATGGAAGTTTTAATCTTTTGGGGTAACTTCTCCTTGCAGGTAACTGTCATAAGTAAATCAATGCTGTATGGAAAATTTGAGTAGATGTTCTGTCCTTGTCTTACACATTCAAGCCTCCTTCCTCTCCATGGGTTGTCTAGGGACTAGGGACAGTCAAAGTAAGCACTGGTTAGTGATGGTGTTGGCTAAGCTTAGTCTCTTTGCAAGCTTTTCCTTAGTACAGCCGGTACTAGTTGTACCTAGTGCATCTAGTTGTATCTAGTGGTACTAGATAGTTGCTGTACCCCATCTTTCTGGCTAGCACTCAGTCCTGCCCTAGAGGTGGCCTCCCTGTCTTTGGCAATGTTCCCCACATCTCACTCCTAACCTTGCGTAAGTATTTCTGGGGAGCGAGAAGCCTGCCCTAGGTGATAAGATTTCTCCCTTCCTACAAGCAGAGGCTCAGGGGACAGAAATGGGATCCCTGATTGCAGTGCTGGGGTGCACAGGGTACAAGGGCTTAGGGGGCTGTAGCCCTGGGCCTTGGCTGAAGGATTCCAGGCCATCTGGCAAAGAGGTGGGCAGAGCTTGCCTGCACTCCCAACTTCCTGACTTCTGGTTTCCACCATGCCCTGCTATCCATACACAAAGGACAGAGCAGCAGGGTTGCAGTCACAGTTCAGCAAACCTTCTGCACAAGCTAAAATAATTTTAGCAGGGATGGCAGGGGTGTGGTAGGAGGTGAGTGCTTGCTAAGCCGTAAACCTCTCCTGCAGTAGGGCTGGCTGTCCTTCCCTTTCTAGTATTGTTCCACCTCTGGGCTGTTCTACACTGCTGCTGTACATTAGCATAGAAAGAGCAGGTTTTTTTCCTTCTTAAAAAAAAAAAAAAAAAGGCAAAGGGGAGTAGATTTGGCCCTCAGAGAGCACAGTGTGTCAGACAGAAAGGTATTTGGTAGTTGCCCATCTGTTCTCTGGGCAGGGTGGCCTAAATCTCAGGTACAGCACACTCGTATCCACAGAAGTCCTGGGTACCACTGGCTGCAGCAATGCAGACGTTGAGCAGGGAGCACAGAGGCCAGCTTGCAAAACATGAGAGTGCTGGCGTTCCTTGTAAAATTGTGTCTGGCCTGTGCTCCCTGACGCATAGTTCCTCGCAAGTAGTCTCAGTGGGAGTCCTGCGGCAGCCTCCTAGGCAGGAGGTCAGGGTGGCTGGTTGTCTCATAGGCAGTGACTAATCCTTCGAGCAGCAAAAGTAGCTCTTTTCACTCAGCCGTAGGCTCCTTCGTGGGTTTTTCCTGGAAGTGCCACTTACCGTGCTGAATCCCCAGGATTTGAGATTGTCAGGGTGTCTCGGCTGTATGAGGCTTCCTGCAGGGCTGCTGCCTCCTCGCTTCCCAAGTCAGCTCTGTGTGGTACTGTAGAAGCGAAGAGCTGAGCTGTGATGTCTGCATGGGAACATTTGCCTTAACTAAGTCCAGGATAAGAGTGGATTTAAGTGCTTTGGTTTATAAATAAACAGCACTGTCGCCAAGGTAGATTTAAGCAGAGCTGGCAACAGCCGTACTTGGGAAGGGATCTCTTTACCACATGGCCTGCTGCTGGACTTCCTGTCGCATGCTAATCCCATAAGCCTGCTTTAGCTCTGTTAATTTTCCTTCTTTCCTTTTTTTTTTCCCCAATGGGCTGTCTCAGTGGCGCATGAATGCCAGTGTTCCTTGGCCAAGCTTGTACCTGCAGCTGGGCCAAGCATCCAGACTGCCTTCCGAGCACCGGGTACCATGTGGCAGGGCCCCAGGGATGGTGGTTCCTGAATGTGTCCCATTCTCTCTGTCTTACAGGCTCTGCAGTCTGCGCCTGAAGAAACTCACGGTGCTGAAAGAGCTGGACAAAGAGCTAAGCTCTGTGCTTATCGCTGTGAAGATTCAGGTAGGCTTCTCTCCTTCCTGCTGCCTAATGGCAGCAAGCCCATCCTTGTGCCCTCTGTGAAGTGCCGGTTTGCATGTCCCTTGCCTTGTGCCCACCCCTTGCTTCTGTCTCGGTTAGCACCCTTGGGAAGATTTTGGCTCTCAGGCAGGTGAGAATGATGCCCCAGGGACAGCAACAAGCTGCCTAGTGCTGGTTTGTATCAGGGATGAATTTGATTAGGCCTCTGCACTGGGACAGAGTGCATCTTGCTTCCCTGCCTGCCTCAGCCAAGGCCCTCCTCTTGAGCTGCTGTTCAGAGTTTGGCATCCCCTACCCCACCGTTCCTGACCTATTTGACAGGCTCAGTGCTGGGTGGTTTCTGGCGATGCCCTCCATCCAGATCCCCTCCCTAGGGAGTGAAGGGTGGGAGAGGAAAGGTGCAAGGAATCAGCGGCTCTGTGCATGACTTCTGCTGACATTTGCACCCTGTGTGATCTCACTGCTTCCTCTGCTCTCCCCTCCTTTTCTCTGTGCGTCCCTGCTAGGCTTGGTGCCTCTACTCTGAACCAGGCAGAAGGGAGGGGAGAGGATCTTTGTCACCAAGGGGAGAGGGAATTTGCTACCACCCTGGTATATGCGATCCTCCCCCCTCCCTCTCTGCAGCTGGTGGTGAAGAGATGGGTCCCTGTGGGTGGAGGCACAACCTTTCCACCTGCCAAAGGACAGCATGGAAGCAAGATGCCTCTTGAGTCTGCTGTCCTCGCCACAGCTCCCCTAACCCAGCTGGGATGCTGGTGTCCTTCCTTCGTTCTTGTCAGCTGTCAGAAAAGCTGCTGATCCCGTTGAAAGCACCATGGGGCAGGAGCTCAGCAGCTTTGTGCTCCCACAGAGCTCTTTGTGCTGCACACATTAGGATCTAAATCCTGGATTAGCACTGGAAGCTGCAGTATTAGTGGAGCTCTGGGAGCAGGGGGTTGCCTTCGTGTCAGACCTGATTCACTTGCACAGAAGGACCTGAAAGCAAAATAAGTGAAACCTGGGTGAGGATGCTGTGGTCAGTCACTTGGTCATCAGGGATGCTGTGTGTCATGCACTTGGTCAGTGTCCCACTTTGCTGGCCTTTCCATCACTGTGTGTATGGTGCCATTCAGGAGTGCTGAAAGCACTGGGCTTTCAGCCCCAAGATCCCCAAGACCTGTGCCCCTTTGGTGCAGGCTTTAGCAAGGGAACAACCTGGGCAGGTAAGAGCTGCCTGGCCTCTGGAAATGTGGGAGCAATCAAGGCTGGGCCATGGGTGCCAGCAGCACAGGGCGCCCTGCTGGGAGCCAGCTGGGGGCTGTGGGTCCCACGTGGCTGGGAGGGCTAGGGCTAGGCTGGTCCCTCACTGCTTTGATCTCCTGCACTGTCAGCCCAAGCTGTCTGTGCTTCTCTGGACTGGGGAACCTTGGGCTCCCGTGCAGCCTCCCTTATGTTGGGGCTGCCATGTGCTGAGCATGTATGTCCTCAGCTGCCTACTCTCTTATGCACTGCAAATTTGAGACTGTGGAAGAGGCTGCACAGTGGGACTCCAGCTTTTTCAAACAGATCACCCCCACCCCTGCTACAGGCCAACCTTGCACCCTGTTGGCAAAAGAAATTAACAGGCCTCAGCAGTGACTGTGTGAGCCACAGGGGCTCTTCACTGCAGGGCTCCTTTCCCTGTCAGGGCATGGAGGCCGCATTCAGGGTCTTTATTTAAACATGGTCACCTCCTCTCTGTGTGGCCACGTACCCGTGGCTGCATGATGGTGTAGGCTTCCTTCAAAGCTGAAGGAAACTGGAGGAGAATGCTTCTGCCCACATGACCCTGTGGCTCAACACTCCTTGTGGGAGCAGGGTGAATTTGTGTGCCTCCCCAGGCTGCTTCCACCTGCCTGACCAGCCACCTTGGCAGGGTCAGGGACTGCTGAGCCTTCCTGAAAGGCAGATGGAAGATGTAGGCAGCTTCAGCGCAGCCTGCCTACAGAATGGTCTCAGATGGATCCATCCCTCCTGCTCCTCTCCTAGGTAACAGATGAGTCACACTAGCAAGAAGCCGTTTGAAGGCTGCCCAGCACGCGTTGCCGTCTCCATCTTTTGGATGGAAAAGCTGATACATGTAATTTGTGGAGAGCCTGCAAGTTCCCAAGGGGGCAGCTGGGGACTAGTGGAAAGGGGAGCTATATTTTCTCTCATTTCAGTAGTAGGTCTGTTTGGTTAGGGAAGTTCCCTGTCAGGAAGTTGCTGCTCTGAAAGGCAGATTGCATGGAAGCAAAGCTCTGACCCTGCCTGAGTGGGTCTGGCACCAAAACAACAGTCCCAGCACTGGAGACAGCCTGCTCAATGAATGTACGTGACTCAAAGGGTAGTGTAAGCCTGTCTAGAATATCTGATCTCTTTCACACAGTGATCATGCCATTCTGCTCTTAAAAGACAGCTTCCAAATGTGGCATGTGCTGTCATCTGCTCCTTCATCTGAAAAGATCTCTGTGAAAGGACTAAGGGAGCTTTCTGTGTCTACAGAACATACCCATTTCCCAGAGGTGACTTGAATATTGAATGTTCAGTGGCTTCCAGTGAGATAAAGTCTGAACTACCATGAAAAAGGGGACGTACTCTCATATCACTGACATGTTTTTTAAGCCTTTATCCCTCATTATTTGTTTTAACAGACTGGAGATGTCATAGAGTGTTTCCTTCTGTGTATTGTTTTCAGCATGGCATTAAGAAATTCGCATGTGTCTGTCTCAGCTCCATAAAGATGCAGATATCTGTCTTGGCATCATAACTAAAGGGAAATGTGGTGCTCCCTCTCAGCAGAGAGACTTACTATATAGACTTACTATTATATACTATATAATTCAAAAATACCCATTCTTGAGCTGTGAATAGAGGAAACAATCAAAGAAAGAAGACAACAAGCCTAGTACTCCCCCAGCTTTCAGGTGCTGTAGGAGAGATGCAGATTGTCCTGCAGCTGCCTGCAGGATGTGGCTGGTGACTCAGGATGTGACTTGGTGCTGCTGTAGAGGGATGATGCTGGCAGCCCCTACACAGTGGACCAGAATGTGTGCCACAAATAATCCAGGCTGAGAAGCTCGTTTGTCTCTGCCAGACCTGCCTGCTGCCTCAGCCCTGCACCCTGCAGGAACTTGAATTTTTTGTTCCTTCTTGCTATGCATAGAAGGTACATGCAGAGTTTTCTGTCTACATCTCACTCATGCTTTGTTTCTAAACGTTTTGTAACGCCTTGTAGGAATTTCCACTCCTGCCTGAGCAATCCCAGATAACCCCTAAATAAATAAATTTTATATTTAGTGGGCTGTTCTCTCCCAAAATGCACCCTGGCTTGTATTCTGGGTAGTGCTTTGCTGTCTGCCTTGGTCTGGTCTCCCATACTATGTTAGTTCTCTCTTGTTTTCCAGGTTTGGTATGCTCTTCTAGCCTTCTGTGTTTTAAACAAGACCCGTCAGGACAGATTTATACCTGAAATTGGGGATTGTACCTTGCAAACCAGACCTTGGCATCACGTGCCCGTGTATAGTAGTGAAAGCTCCTGTCTGTTTTCAGTCTATTAGATAGTGAAGATCTGTGACCACAACCTCTCCCTGTTGCTTTTCACTTCCTTGACAGTCTTTATCATTTGTGATCTTCACTGTAACAGTCTTAAGTTTTCCTGTGATACTGATGGTGATACTCAGCTGTTCTGCTGAGAAATTGGTCTTGCATGACATTACTCGAAATGCAGAACAGTTGAGCTACATCAGGTGCTCAAGGCCATGTCCAGCTGAGGTTTGAATTTCTCAAGGGATGGAGAATTCTCTCTTTCTGTGTCCTGTTCCAATGTTTAACTGCACTCACAAAGGAAAAAAAGTAAAAATCCCAACATCTAATGGTAATTTCCCATGTTCCAGCTCATCCCAGTTGTCTCTTACTCTGTCCCTGTGCACCTCTGAGAGGAGTTCACTTCTCTCTTCTCTGCACCCTCCTGCTAAGTGTCTGTAGGCACCAGTAAAGTACCCCCTTCACCCTCTCTTTTTCCATCTGGACAAACTGAGCTCACTCAGCCTCTCCTTGTATGTCCTGTACTCCAGCCCTTGACCATCCTGATGTCTTCTGCTGGACTTGCTCTAGTCTGTCATTGTCTGTCTTGGACTGGGGAGCCCAAACTGGGTCTGGAATCTAGTTGTGGTGTCACCAGTGCTGAATAGAGAGGAGGAATCCTTTTTCTCTGCCTGCACATTTGCTGAGGCTGGGATTGGTGTCATTGCTGCCACAGGGCATGCTGCTGATGCAGGGGTACCTTGATGTCCGCCAGGATCCCCCCGTCCCTTTCTGCAGAGTCTGTTCTGCTGCCTGGGGTTCTTCCCAGGCAGCAAAGTCGTGGTATGTTCTAGGGAAGGGCTACTAGGCAGGTAGTAGCCCCCCGGCACTAGTTTCTAGTCTCTTTAATTGGAGCAATGCTGTTTCCTGCTGGGTTGTGGTTTGCTTCTGAAGGTACTGCTGGGTATGTGAGTGCCATTCCTTCCGTGAAGCCTAGCGTACCTTGCAGGCTGGACTTGATCTTTAGGTAGCGGCTTTTACCTTGCTGAGAGGACTGTACCTCGCGCATTTGCAGTACAATGCCGAGCCCTCTTTCTACCCCACGTCCAAAGTGCTGTGCTTCATGGTGCCCTGGGAGCTGGCCCTCTGGCTGAGCTTAGACACTATGACCTCTCTACCTTCATGTGACTCCATGGGCCAGGTATCTCCTAGGGCTTGAGCTTAGGCAGGGTGCAGCCTGCCAGGTCATTGCACCAGTAAAGAACTGGCCCATGCACCTGTAAAGAACTGGCCCGGACCTAAAAAGTGCTGCTGTTTAGAGGTCTCTGAGCTCCGCTGCTGCTCCCTTCTGCTTGCACTGTTATAATAAACCAGCCACATGGATGTGCACTGGCATTTCACTGAGGGCCAGAGGCTAGGACTGGAGCTGGGTGTGTAACTTCCATAGCAGTAAATGACAGTAACACACAGGGTAGCAATGTTTATGAAACCTTCACTCACTGCACATGCCACCCAGGCTGTCCTCACCTTTCCTTTGATGTAACTCTGTCCCCAGAAATAGCATCTTCAAGAAGAATAATTGCACCAGTATGTGTGTTCTGATGAAAGAACAAATCTTTGGTGGATAATCTCTCTGCAACAAACAGCAAATGGGAAATGTGCTAAAGTAAATGGTCATTGTCATAGTGACCACCTGTCATCTCTTACTAAAGAATACTTCGGGAAGGAAAAGTCAGTGCATTCTTGGCCAGGAAAGCTCACAGATGGTGAAGGGAATGAGCTCCACCTCCTCTCTTCAGTTTTAGGAAGACCTTTCACAGGAAAGCCTCACTCCTGGCACAGTCGCTGAGAACAGTGTTGCGAACAGCTTAGGCTGGGCCTCTTGGAGGCCCAAGGAAGGTTTCGCTAGAGCTTGTCTTTGCTTGGGTACCAGTGAGAACTGTAGTGCTGCACCATTGCAACATGTGGAGGCCTTTCTTGCCTCCCCTCTGTAGGTTGTTTGGTTCATTTTCCTTGCTAGCATGGGTGACACCAGCAATGGAGGTCAAGAAAGGCCTTTGATCAGCACCGCCCAGGCTTGCTGGACCATGCTGAAGTTCCCATCAGCCAGCTTCCCTGGTGCTCGCTGGGTGCTGAAACATGCCTGTGCCCATTGCCTTTCTCTTTGATTGCAGAGGGGATGTAGCTGTGGTCTCCTTTACGGTGCCACCTGCATGCTCCTGTCATGACTTCTGGGGCTGCTGACCCATTTGCAATGGAGATGAAGAGCTGGGGGCTCTAAAGTCACGTAACCTTAGCCAAATTTGGGATTTGTCTAAGTTGCTGAAGGGTCTCCAGCCACGGCCAACTTAGGATCCTGCTGGCCACAGCATCTGTCAGGATCAAGCTGGGAAGGGTGTGGGGATGCATTGAGGTCTTGGGAAGGGGCAACATTTATGAGGTGGTACCCAGTTCCTTTGGACTGGTGTGCCTATTTGGTTAGCTTTGACCTATCTGCTCACTAGCCCACAGTTTAAATCAAGGAGTGCTCACAAAAGCAATGATAACTGACTTGTAAGAACAGCTGTTGCCTCCCTAAATCAGCATCGCAGCTTGCTGTCCCATCCACGGGGAGGCAGGAGAGAGTGAGAAACCACCATAGGCTGTTCTATCCTTAGAGCTGGTCCCACAGCCCTGCGGAGACCCAGCCAGTGGGTGTGAGCATTTTGGGGGGGTCTGTGAGTTGTGCTACCGTGCAACCAAGAGAGTGGTGCATGCACACAGCATTTTTCATCCCCCAAGTCATTCAGTGTCTCTGTCAGCAGGCAAGCCGTAGAGACAGTAAAGACAGGACAGAAGTGAAGGAAAGAGTTGGAGTGGGCACGAGTTAGAGTGCCTTTCTTGCTTCCTTCCTGGGGCAGAAAAACGTTTGTATATGTGGAGAGATAAGGACTGTTGCCCAAGGAAAAGACTAGGAGGAGTTTTCAGAGACACAAGCTGAGCAAGCAGAGGGACCCCTGTTCCCCTGGGACATCCTTCCTTCATCCCAGCAGATCAGTCCTGTGAGCTGTGCTTGGGCAGGGCTCTACACTGCGTCTGTCTGCTGAGGGGCAGAGGTGTGCTCCAGGACCTGTCGCTTTCCTGGCTAGGCAGTGTGTTGGGAGCTTTTCCTTCCCCTGCTGGTGCTGTATGCATGTCTCCCTCTGGCTTTAGCAGTGTCCCCCTCCACAGCATCCAGTGGGCTCCAGGTGCAAGGAGCCAGATTAAGCAGAGCACGCTTGGGAGAAACAAGTGCTCCCTGGCAGTGGGGCAAGGAGAGGGGGCCTTTGGCAGCTCAGGAGAAACTGCAGGCTTTTGCGAAGCGTTGATTGGTGTAAGGTGGCTCTGCGAGGCGGAACAGAACAGAGTCAAGGCACTGGCTCTTTCCTTGTGGACTGTGAACACCATTGACTTGTGTGTGTGGTGCAGTGGAGTCTGTGGCCAAGATGCTCCAGCTTAGCTTGTGCGCCTACCAATCTTCTTGTAGGGTTCAAAGCGAGTCCTGAGATCAAACGAATACGTCCTCCCGCCTGGCGGCCTGATGGAGACTGAGCTGGAGCTGACCTTCTCACTACAGGTACTTTGTGTTGCCCGGTTCCCTGATGCCCCCCTCACCTGGCATTTCTTGACAAGCACGGCTTTGGGGGCTCAGTGTGAAGGGGGCAGTCTCTGAGAAGGGGCCTTCTGTGGGTGCCCATGCTCAGATCATAACGGCACAGATTCCTTCTGTTGGCCAACTGCTCCATTGCTCCAGGGGTTGTTTTGCTGGGCATGGGGATTTGGAGGATGATATGGAGTGCAGGTGGCCTTTGAGGGACACCTCAAAGCTCAGCAGGTCAGATCCTGCTGTACATCAGCACTGAGGAAGATTTTTCTACCCGCGTGTCATGCTGAGCCCCACCCTCATGCTGCCATCTTCCCTGCACGTCCCTTCCCCAGTACCCACACTTCCTCAAGAGAGATGGCAACAAACTACAGATCATGCTGCAGCGGAGGAAGAGATACAAGAACCGCACAATCCTGGGCTACAAGACCCTTGCAGTGGGCATCATAAACATGGCTGAGGTACAGGGTGCTGGGAACAGAGGGGAGCTTCGCATGGCCTCACTGTGCCAGCGCTGGGAAGGGAGCTGGGCCGGCTGGCAGGCTCTCGGTGCTGAGCGGTCTGGCTTGTTGGCTAGCTATGAGACAGAGGGGGTGGGCTGCCAGCTGCCATTGTGTCACCCTGGCAGGGGCTTGTCTGTCTGCCTAGGTGATGCAGCACCCAACAGACGGCGGGCAGCTTCTGGGCCTCCACAGCAACATGAAGGACGTGAACATCCGAGTGGCTGAAATCAGCATCTACTCGTTGTCCAGTCAGCCCATTGATCATGAGGATGGGAGTGTCCCCTCAGGTCCTAAAATCAAAGCTTCAGGTGTGTTAGCGCTCATCACAGACCTGAAGGCAAGCATTTGGGACAGGACATGAGTAATAGAGTGCGTCCCCAAGCGCCTGCCAGCAATCATTTCTCTGGAGCGATGCCAGGCATCATGCTTAGCTGTGGCATGTGTACTGTCTGCTTTCAGATCGCTCCCCAGACATTGATAACTACTCGGAAGAAGAGGATGACAGCTTCTCCTCAGAGCAGGAAGCCAGTGATGATGCTGTGCAGGGTCAGGTAAGGGAGGCCTGGCAAGGTGGTTCATGTCCTGGTCCCATTTCTGGAGCAAGAGTCAGGGGTTAAGAGTCTGGATTGCTCTGAACCCTCTCATCTTCCTTGTAAACATTTGTCATGGTTTCAGAGGACAGAGAGCCACAATACCCGACAGCAGGAAGAACTGTGGCCTGCTGTCAAGTCCGTGGTGAGGCAAGGGACTTTGGAGAGCCATAGGTCTCACCCATCTGTCCTTGGAGCTGTCTGGTCTGCAGCGTAAAACCCCTGCTGAGACCCCTCCATCTTGCACTACGATTCTCTCCCATCTCCTTGTGGTAACAGGCCAGAGGCTGCCCTTTCTCAGAGCAGAGATTTTAGGAAGAAGAACAATCTGGGTCTGAAAATGGTCAGAGGTGGCAGACCCATCCTAGGCCTGTGATGAGCTGTGCTACTGCTGTTTGCTGTCCTCTTGTTGTGGTGCCTACGCTCAAGGCCAAAAAAGCTTCTGTTCGGGGTCCTCCGTATTACCTGTCCCGTTGTGCTGGGTTAACACATCAGGGCCCCACGTCACTGGGAGCTGTGTGTATTGTTGAGGCTGATCCCTGGAAGAACACTTTTTGTGAGCTCAGGTGCTGCGCCCTCTGAGCTAACCCTGGAGAGGGGAGAGCAGGAGAACAGCACATGGGTCACAGGGAGGCTGGTGAGTGCAGAGAGAAGAGTTTTAGTTGTAACAAGGACTGTTCCAGAAAGCTGCTGTCTCTCCTCTGAATCTTGATGGTACATGTCCTTCTGGAGGGGCCTGGGAGCAAAGGCGCTGGGGAAGAAGGTCCATTGGGGGACAGTGCTAAGGAGGGAGGAGCTGCATAGAGAGAGGTGGGAGGAGGGAGGAGCTGCATAGAGAGAGGTGGGAGAAGTGAGAAGCAAGGCTCTGGGAGCAGAGTGGACCGAAGCTTTTCAAAATGGGGTGCAAGCGTGGGGCCAGGGAACTTCTAGGAGATGCTGCTCCCTGCACTCTGAGTTGCTCTTATGTTCTGTGACCTTTTGCCTGCAGGATCTGTTTGACGAAGAGGATGACTTGAGGAAAACCAAGAAGGCTAGGAGGAAAATGATCCGAACCACATCAATGACCAGAGTAACATCAGCATTTACAACATGATCAAAGGGATGGAAAGGATTCGCTTCCTCTCCTCCCTGCAGGGAGTGAGGGGGGAGTTGGGGGGACATTGGCTCTGGTGCGGAGCAGGGAAGAAAGCCTTTGGCTCTGAGAAGAAGGGGCAAACCCCTTGCCATTAATGAGTTAGCTTGCTACTCGGAGCTGTACCCCGGCTCATGGTCTGTACTGTGTTTAGCCTGGCTTCGTATCAGTGGTGATCTGTGTGCAACATAGGTTTGACTTGCTGCTGTGACGTGGTCTCTTCTCTTTCTCTCCCTGAGGAAGGGGAAGATTGGTGCAAGGAAGGGTGAGCCATTAGCAGCTCCTCTGCCTGTCAGCAGAAGCGGGGAGCTGCTGTGCCAGCCCCCTGCTCTCCAAGCATCTCATCATCCCCATCTGCTTCAGCCCTGTGGGTCCCTGGGCACCTTCTTCCTGAGTTTGTTCCCCATCTTTTCTTGCTTTAAGGCAGCATTCCTCAACCAGATGGTCTGGCAAGTAAGGGGATTTAAATGGAGAGAAAGTGCTATTCCAGCCCGTAGCAGAGAGAGTCTGAGTCGTTGCACCCTCCCTCATGCCCAGCTACTGTGGCTTCTTGCGGAGTCCAGATTTAGTCCAAATCCTACAGGAAATTTAAAGGGCAAGGGAGATTATAGCTGAGCTTGGGCCTGTGGACCCAGAAAGGAACTGATAACATGTTAAAGAGAGCAACCCAGGCCTGTGTGTTAGTCATCTTCAATCATGGTTTGATAGTTTTTTCTTCCCTTGTTTTGTTTTAGCAACCAAACTTCAAGCAGAAATTTGTGGCTTTACTGAAGAGGTTTAAAGTGACGGAGGAGGTAAGAAGTGGGAAGGCTGCCCCATCTGGCAGTGTCTCCTGCAGATATGTAGGTGTCAGAGTGCTGGTTCCCACTCACTGGGAACACAAGGCATGAGCTGCAAGTGCTCAGGGGTGTTACCAAAAGTGGTGTGAGACATGACTCAGGCTGGGCCTTGGCTTTTCCGAAGCTTTCTGCCTCAAGAAGGCAGCTCTGAGCCTCGTACTCAAATCAAAAATGCCTTCCTTTTGGGGAGAGGGGTCGGGGGAAGAAGGGTGTTGTCATACACTGTCTCTGCCTCAGGAACTGGCATTGCAGGGGCAATCCCGTTCACAACTGAGAGCAGGCTAAGATCAGCCTGGGGATAGCTGGCCTTGGCTGGGAGCCTGCACTGAGTGTGCAGCACAGCCAGTGGAGGTCCTCCCAGGTGTCTTAATGCCCAGTAAGTATGATGGGTGTCTGAGACTCCTTTGGATGTCGTGCTCATGGCACCCTCCTTTGGCCCAATGACAGTGTCACTTGCTGCTTCTGCAGCCTGGATTTGGCTCCCTGAGGTGAGAACAGTGCCGTGATGTGCCTTGTGGCTAGGAGGGAGCTTCTATGTGCCTGGCCTGGGGCGCGGGTGACTCCGTATCTCTTCATTGCCCTCTGGGCTTGGTCCCACAGGTCCTGGACTCTGACCCTGTAGACCAGACCCAGGAGGTGGAGGAAGACCTGGGCTTGCTCTATGACAGCCTGGAAGAGTGCAACAACAGTGACAGCGGCCCAGAGATTGAGGACAATGAAAGTGTGCACAGCACACCCAAGCCCACCCTGAGGTAAGGGTTGCAGGGAGTCACAGGCTGACAGCACAGTCTGTGGGACCTGGAGAAATGCCCTCTGATGTTTTTCTGTTGCTTGGGTTAATGCAGGCATTGTCTCATCTCCATTCCCGTCACCATCTTTTGGCACCACTGAGCTCCTCACTTGCATATCCTGTTTAATAAACTCAAAGCTGCCCATTAAAACTGGCCTCCTTCACGTTCAGTCTCATTTAATTTCCTGCCAGCCCAACATCTGACACTTACTGATCTGCTGGAAGAATACCTACTTGATCTAAGCCCCCACTGCTCCCAGCTCTCCTGTCTTTCTGCTGACAGTTCTGGCCTTCTCAGGGCTCTCCACACTGAAGCATGCTTATCTTTTGAGCACTTCGTGACTGCTCGGGCCAGTCCTTGTGTTCTTGTGAGATCTGCATGCTGCGTTCCCACCCTTTGTGGAGACATGTGACTAGCAACCATCAGCCATGTTCCTCACCCTATTCCCCAGGCACCCGGTGGCTTGACTTGCTCTGCCAAGCACTGCTGACTTGGCACAGAGGTCTCCAGTGGACCATGCAATGAAACCAGGCTTTTCTCCCACATGGTCTGCATTCACCTGGCCTCTCTGCTCATGGCTGTTCTGTTTCCATGCTATCCTTTTCTGAGAAAGTTGCCTTTTATTGTTTTTCTACTTGGCTGCCTCACAGTGTGCCTGGTCTCTTCTAGCTAAGTCAAGCTTACTTGTCATTATTGTTTCTATAGTTCGGTATTTAAATATAATTTGGATTAGTTGGAATCCCTGCTGAAGGTGCTTAGCAGGGGTAGCAGGCTTGGTCTGCCATGGGCAAACTGTTTGAAATTAAATCTTCTGGATTCAGGAACCCATGGGGCCCTGGGGAAGAAACGGGAACATGGCAGAAGTCATGTTTTCCACAAACCCACAAGTTGTCGTGAAGGAGACAGCAGGCACGTGGGCAAGGGAGAGCTGCTTAGGTGGTCTGCTTGGACTCCAAAAGGAGTTTCACACGGTCTCTCATCAAAGGAAACAAAGGTGCTGTAGGAGAAAAAGGAAGGTCTTTTTGTGGTCAGACAACTGTTTATGTATCTGTGTAAAACTATGTAAACTGTAAGAAAAGTCTATTGAGAGTATTTAAATATAAGTATTAAATATAAGACCCCACCCTAGTTCTGCAGGTGTCTGCTTGCAAACATCTAGTCACTGGGAGAGCATCCTAGAGTAAGTGCTGGTTTGTGCTTGTACCTGCCGTTACAGTCTTCCTGGGGTGTTTGCTGCTGTCCCTGGTAGGACAGCTATGGGGCCCTGGGCTGTTTTTCAGCCTGTTCACAAAGTGTCCCTAGCTTGGTTTGCTCTCTAGTGCCTCAGTTTCTGGTAGTGCCGAGCGCGCATCCCCTTGAATTCACGTTACTGGGTCTGTACTTTTTCTAAGGAGGGGTGGGAGCTGGCTGCCCAGGTCTTTAGCGTAGACTGCATGGTTCCAAGGCCCTGCGTAGCCTTCTCAGCTGGTGATGACCTTCCAGCCCAGCCTGTAAATTCAAGATGGGATCCTCGTGTTGCATTTGTTTATTGTTGTAGACGACCTCTCTAGACACTGTAAAGGTCTCTGTGGAGTAAGGCATTAAGGTAGTCCTTAAGGGTGAGCAGTGGCCAGTGCCCTGCATTGGGCCAGTGGTGCTGGGAGCAGAGCGCCATCCTTTTGATCAGCCAGGGAGGCCACGCAGCCATAGGCTGCTCCTACACTGGGGTGAAACCAGCTAGAACTGAGGCTGTTAGGTAAGACCTCAACAGTCAGAGCCTTTGATTGAAGATCAGAGGTGAAGGAGCAAATGTCACCATAGGTGACTGGGAAAATGGATGGGGAGAGGGGACTCATCCATTGAAAACAGGAGGAGGCTGTGCAGAAGGGCTGGGATTTACCTAAATCCCGGCCTGCTGAGACTCAGACTCAATCATGCCTATATGAAAGCCTTTAAACTGCAGAACAGGGAAAGCTGAGAATTGCGGAAGAGCTCTGTGCTCAGTGTGACACATCATCTAGGGATGAAAGCTTCTGAATTGCAAGTGGGAGAGAGCAGAAACAGACACGGCTTCCATGGGGTAGGGCGAGACAGCCCCATTTAAATAGGGTGTTGCAAGCCAGACCAAGTGTGTACAATCTGGACACATCCAACGTGTAAGAAAAACGAAGGGATGAAGATACCTTTTTGAGGTGCCAGTGGCACCAGGGCTAGGTCATGTTTTGGTGGGATTACTGAAACAGTACAGAGGAGTGTTGGAGAGATGCTGATTGGGGAGCGAATTATTAGAAGACTTAGATATTTCTGTGGTTTTACTATGTCATTAACATAGTCTGTATGGATTGAAATTGCTGTCTGAGAAAAGGCAAGTGTAGAGTAATGACTGTACAGGGTGGTGGCAACGTCTGAGATCCTGTAGCAGAGATTGGAGGAGTGGAGAGAGCAGAAATATGTTAATAACAGGAGACACCATTTATCCCTATATGACCTGGAGAAAATGTCCCACCAGGGCACAATTCCAACTCTAAACCTGGAGCTTCGGTAGATGAACGTGTTGTAATGCAGCTGGTCACGGAGTCAGTGAGAGGAAAATCGAGCCTTGACTTCCAGCCAGTATATAAACATCGCTGCTGAAGAGCTGCTCTGTGGTGGGGGACCATCATTTACTGAGAGGAAATGTCCTTGTAGGAGCAGTAAAAGCAAAGAACCTGACAAACTCTGTTGTACCTACCTGGCAGCACAGCGTGCTGTATACCAATGAGGAAACGTGGTAAAAGGAAAGGGAGCAGCCAGGATGTTCAGACCTACCTGTCTGTAGGTATCCTGCAGAAAGCTGCAGATCTAGCCAGATGAGGACAGTAGAAAACAATGGAAAATCTGGCAGAATCCTAACAGAAGAACCCAATACCCTACGCCTCCGTGGCCATCCCCAGAGACCTGCAACCTGGTATCCCCATCTGCACATGAGGCAAATCAGGAGAAACTTTTCCTGGGAGTTAGTGAGCAAGTACATACAGCTTAGAGGGAAGCTGTCTCAGATCCTCCTGCAGGAAAGTCACACATTGCAGATGGGCTGCAGTTGCTGCGAGGGTGCTGGGAAAGCTGACAGGTGAGATCCAGTGATACAGTCTGCTTGTTTCCTAAAGACTGGTCTTTGAGCAGCCCGCAGGATGCGAACCCCCTGGTCCTTGGCAAATAAATTAAGGGTGGAAAAAGGGCTGAAACAAAGGTGGAAGCTCACACTGTGGTGGCAGAGACAGTCCTGCTGCCCCCAGAGAGGTCCTGTGATGACCATTGTGACTTGGGAACAGGACCTTGGAGTTGCACTGCGCAGCTCTACCGAAACATCAGCTCAGAGACCTTAAAAAAGGCAAATTTAAGTGCTGGGGAACAAAACATGACATTGCTGTGCTGCTGCGTTGCCTGAGGTGTGGTTCTTTGTACAATACTGTGATCTTCAGAGCCTCAGGAAAGAGGAAGGCAGGAAGGGAAGGTGGAAGCCGCTGCTGGAATAGTGCAGCAGCAGCAGTCAGAGGCGAGACTGAAGAGGGGGAGCAGAAGGGAAGGCAGCAGAAATCTGTGGAAGCCGTGGTGGTGCAGGAGAGGTAGAGAGGTTCAGCATCACGTTGGAGTTGTGACGTTGACAGAGACCATATACCAGTGAGATGGGGCAAGGTGGCGGTCCCTCACCCTGCACTGCCATAGTAAGGGATCACCTGAGAGAGAGGTCGTGGCTGGCTAGGAGACAGGGACCCTGCCTCCAAATCACCGGGGTCACAGGTTTAACCCCGTTGGCCTGGGGTGGCCCATCCTGTCCCTGCGCCCAGCACTGTTGCAGCAGACCACGGCGTGCGGGGCTGGCAGTCTGCTGGCAGGTCTGCGCCTAGGCTGTGAGTTGCTCGGACACGGGTGTCCGGCCATGTGTCCCACCAGGGACCTCTCCACAGTGCTCTGTGCTTGGGACAGGCCAGCGGGGGTGTGCTGGGATCATCGTGACTTTGTTCCTTTCTTATTCCTGCCTTTTTCTCTCCCGTCTGTCTGTCTGTCCATCCGTTCGTCTGTCTGTTTCTCTGCAGGCGTTTCTTTGAGGGAGTCTCTCATTCTGGTTCCCAGACTGAGATCGGCAGTCTGCACAGCCAGAAAGGGCAGGATCAAGAGTCGGGCAGCCCTGTGAGTTATACCACCACCACCTGTTGCCCCCTTCCCTCCCCAGCCAGCCCAGCATCCCCGCAGTGCCTGCAGCTCCCTCTGAGACCACAGCTCCCAGCAGCACCTGCCTGTGGCTTTCCTCTTCTTTTTCCCAGCGCAGGCAGACAGGTAGCGATGGCGGGCATGCTCTGGGGCCAGCCCCAGGGGGACGCCGGGCTCCCCTGTGGGAGCGCGTGTTCTGCGAGGCCAGGCGTGGGTCACCGGCAGCTGCCCCCCTCGGGGCGCTCCATCCTGCTCTGACCCACCCCGCTCCCTGTCCCCCAGGGCGAGGCAGACAAGCGGAAGCCGGGGGCGCTGCGACCGCAGGAGGAGCCAGGAGCGGAGGTCCCTGCGGTGGTGAGTCCAGGCTGCAGGACGTGGAGTGGAGCTGGAGCTCCCTCAGGCCCCACCTTTGCTTTCTGGGGTACCGGGGTGCCCGCCAGCCTGGGGGCAGGGCTGGGGGGGACAAGTAGATTGGGCTGGAGAGCAGCAAGGGTGGGAGGAGGGTTAGTGTCTGCGGGAGATGCAGGCCAGCCCCCTCGAGGCCCTGCAGCCTTGGCTCTACAGCGGGGAGCTCTAGGACTGTCCTGGGTGGGGGCATCCATGGGCGCAGGGAGCAGGGCAGGGAGAGCGGCGCGTGCGAAGTGACTGTGTGTGGCCCTCAGGAGCTGGCCGCAGAGGAGCCGTGTTCCCGGCTGGGTGCCATGAGAGAGGGCAGTGTGGACAGGCTGGCCCAGCTGGGCCCCGGGACCAAAGCCGAGCTCCCCAGTGCCGTGTCCCCCAGGTAAGGCGGATCCCTGCCCCACGCCAGGGCTGAGGGCTCACGCTGGCTCCCTGGAGCGGGTCGGGGGTTGGTGGAGATGGGATTTCCTCAACAGCGTTGCCTTTCCTTTCACAGCAAGGCCGAGAGCAAGCAGTTGTGGCGTCCCCGCAGCACCTCTGTGAAGGACCGGCAGAGCTCAAAGGGACAGGGTGGCCGTGCCAGCAGCCTGGACAGCGAGAGCTCTCCAGACTCGTGGCACAGCACCCAGGTGAGGCCCTGGAAGCCACCTCACCTGGATGCTTTTCGCTTGAGAGCCCTGCTGGACCTTCAGCCATGGGCAGGGTGGCCAAGGCAGCCGGCTGGGGTTAACCTTCATGGTGATGCTGTTGTAGGTGCCCCGAAAGTCTGTTTACGATCAGCTGAACCAGATCCTGGTCTCAGATGAGCAGCTCCCGGAGAGCATCGTGCTGGTGAATGTCGCCGAGTGGCAGGGGCAGGTGAGCAGTCATGACAGGAGCTGGGTGCACAGGGGGAGCTGTAAGCAGGGTCCCAGGGGATTCTCCCAACCATGGCAGGGTGTCCTAGGGGACTGGCACCCGCTGTGCCCTCCTCTCCCGTCACGTGGCCCTTCCTTCGCGGAGACGGCGCTTTTGCACAGTGCTGAGCTACATACACAAGAGTCCGGTGTGTCTCCTCCGTCATGTGCCACCCACCAGCATTGCTGGATCCTCAAAGCACGATGCCCTGAGCAGTCCCAGACTGTACCTTGTGCCCTTGCTGCTTGGTCCTGACTCTCAGTGACCACACTGGTCAGAGCTTTGTTGGGTGCCCTGGCAGAGGTGCCATTTCCCACGGATGGGAGATGGGAGAGCATAGCCCTCTGCTCCCAGGGAGCATTAACTGCGTTGTCAGAGCTGGGGTCTCTGGGCAGGGAGACATGTGAGGCCTTCCTGCCGTTGTGCCCGTGTGAGGGCGGGCCCAGCCCCTGAGGAGCATAGAGGAGCTGACTGCTGAAAGTGAGCAGGGCCGTGTATGTGTGTGCAAACATGCAAACAGCAGTTATATAAAGCACTGGTGAGACCCTTTGGGGGGGGATCCTGCAGCTACATCTGACATCCAGAAACAGTGCTGGAAAATAAATGAAGGCAGGGTTTGTGGCAGAAGAAAGAGCTTCTCAGTGAGAGGCAGTGGAGTCTTGACCCAAGCCACACGTCCTTGGTGTGTTCCTGCTCTAGCTGTTGTCCTGATGAGGAAAAAAGGAGCAATGCCCATTCCCAGACCCTGTCATGGCATCTTCTAAGCCCCCTTGTCTGTCACAACTGCCCATTTTACCATTGTTCAACTGCATGCAGACACCTGAAGAGGCACAGAAGGATTTTGGAGTGCTGCAGTGGGAGAGAGCAAGAGAAGGGAATGAGCAGAGAGGGACTGAGCCTAGAGCTTGGCCCTGCTGTGGGATGGTGGGATTTAAATCAGAGAGTCCCTGGACCAAACCCTTTATCTCAAGGAACACAGCCTGGTTCTTGGGGCTGTTTTGCCCTTGCCATCAGAGAGAGGTGACTGCTGTGCTCAAAGGCAAGAGCAGCAGGCTAGGGTAGCCAGCCCCCCTGGAGCAGAGCTAGGAGGAGCAGGGATGCTTAGGCATGCAGCCACAGGTGACCTGATGGTTTCAGCCTCCCTGCACGGCACGGGTGGGGACAGGGGCCCCAGCTCTATCCCAGGGGGGCACGGGGGCCAGGGCAGGCATGGGCTGGTGCTGGCTAGCACCGCCGTGCCCCCCTAGAGTGCCTTAACCTGAGCTCTCTACATTGGCAGTACGTGAGTGAGCAGCTCCAGGCGCACAAGCAGTTGGTCGTGTCCACCTGCTCCGTGGCGGACATCCAGGCAGCCTTCAACACCACTGTCTCCCGCATCCAGCGATAGTGAGTAACAGCTTGGGCTCAGCCCTGTGACTGCAGAGAAGGGCTGCGAAGGGCCCTGGCTCCCCCAGGGCTCCTTAGGGCCCTTCAGGGACTGTGGACACAACTATGGGAGCAGGTGTAGGCCCTGGGGGAAGCGGGGGATCCCGGTGCTGGTTGTGCCCACAGCAGCGTTCTGCAGGTTGGAAATTGTCAGCGATGGGTTTCTGATGCTGGGTGGGCTGAGCTGCTGTGCGTCCCTCACGGTGTCCTTTCCTCTCCTCTTGGCAGCTGTAACTGTAACTCCCACATGCCTCCCCCAGTGAAGGTGGTGGTGGCGGGGGACCCCTGGGGGAAGCGGGGGATCCCGGTGCTGGTTGTGCCCACAGCAGCGTTCTGCAGGTTGGAAATTGTCAGCGATGGGTTTCTGATGCTGGGTGGGCTGAGCTGCTGTGCGTCCCTCACGGTGTCCTTTCCTCTCCTCTTGGCAGCTGTAACTGTAACTCCCACATGCCTCCCCCAGTGAAGGTGGTGGTGGCGGGGGACCAGAGCTACCTGAGCGTTGTCCTCCGTTTCT